CCGAATATCTCCGAAGGCGATCGCTTTCAATCACTTTCGTTCGCCAATCCCGATCCCATCCTCCCGAAACCGCCCACACTCGCCAGCCCACCCTTCGCTCTCGTCGATAATAAACGCCGCGCCGCTTCCCTCCGCCGCGAATCCAACGTGCCTGCCTGCCTGCCTGCCTGCATGCGTGCGTGCGTGGCCGTAAACAGATGTATCTGGCCGAAGCGTATCGGAGCGACAAGTGATTCGCCAACACTCATAAATATGCGCGGGGCGATAAACGATCGGGCCGCTGGCCTCGGTTGCTCGGAGACGTTAATTACAATTAGACCGATAATCGGCGGCCCCTCGTTTTCCACGGCACCGGCCGTAAATTAACCATCTCCTGGCCATCGCGACGTTTATAGGCGATGACCCTGCCCGCGAAATATCCGCTCGTCTCGAAGAGAGAGAGAGAGAGAGAGAGAGATCGAAAACGAGAATCGTCGAAACAAAAGGCGCGTGACCGATCGAGGGAAGGATTCTCTTTTATAGAATTAGAATCGATTCAATTTGTGCAGGTGTCGTTCGAGCGTATTTCGATCGTCGTTGAACCATTTTTGAATTACTTGCAGAACGTATCTCGTAGTAGCCGCGTTTTAGTAGAGAGAGAGAGAGAGAGGGAGGAGACGTGAATTGATTTATTCGAGCGTCGCATTCCCGGACACTATCTCACGACCTTAAAAGCGGCTAAACGATTCAATTTGTAGTAATTATAATGCAACCGGCTTGGACCACGACTGGCTGGCGTTTTTTCATTGGGACCACTTAAGGATGCGACGGCGTTTCGCGTGTGGGCGTACGCCGCCTCGCTCGCCACGACAATTTCCAGTTAATCTAAACGATATTGGATCAAGAACGACATCGAACCACGCCGATCCACCCTGCACAAATTTGCCTATACGTTGTCGTCGTGGAGGTCGTTCCAATCGACCGTTGATTCAACTCCACGATCCGTTTCCACTCCATATCTATCTACACAAAATATAATAACAAATTATATAAATTTTTTTTTATCATTATCCCATACCAACGTACGCGTTAACACTCGTTATCCCGATAATTAATCGTTTCCTTCGACCTCATACACACTTCACCCCCGTGGTGGCAGGTGATGAAACGCGGCTTTTCAACGAACGAAAATAAAATCCCTTCCTTATTGCGGCCTTACGCGCGTGAAAGCGGCCACGCAGGTGGTCCCGACGATAATAGTAACAATAATCCTTGTGCCCGTAAACCGTGAAATACTAAGCAACCGGTGCTTGATTCACCGCTCGATCGGGTGCGTTCCTTCGTATCCGACATTGTGTCGTTACACCACCCCACCACCCAACCTCCCACGCGGTTCGATCGAAAATAAAGAGAGAGAGAGAGAGAGGCGTTACTTGTCCCACGTGCTCGCTTATCGAGGAATTACAACCGGGAAGAGGGATCGTAATTACACGACACGATTCACCATCTTTATTTATCACACGATGAAATATATAACTCGTCGCCACTTCCACGCTGTGTGTACCTCTACTCGAGCAATACTCGAGGCGTCGTTCTCAAATTTATTTATTTTGTTACAACTTCGAGAGAAACAAAGTTCTCGATTCGATCGAGAATTTTCCTCCCTCTCCCCCTCCTCTTTCTTCGTTCCGTCCCAGACGGGAGATCGAAGAAGAACGACCTCGTTTCGTTTCGTCCAGTCGAAGTTGTTTGATCAACTGCCTCGATGGCAGTCGAAAAGCAGAAGAGAGAGAGAGAGAAAGTGTGTCGGGGCGGTGAAAGAAGAGAATTTATATATCCGCGAACGTCATCATCCACCTCCATTTCTTTGGGCTTGGCGTGAATTGTCGTAGATACAACTGAAAATAGCCTTCCCGGAATAGCGAAGAATTTAGACCACCAACGCGCGGCTCTCGTCTCAATTAACGCTTAAAGACTCGTCCACACGGAACCACCACCCACTACGCCTCTCGACACGCCGTGTTTGTTCGTAACAAGAGTCGCGCTTGTTATCTTATAAGAGCCAGCGACGATACCGATCTTGATTCATACCGCCGCTGCGCCCGTAATAATGCTCGCCCGTAGCCGCGATTCTAGATCGGGGATGGTTGTACGTAAATCAACCTGCCACGGCCGTCTCGCACTCTTTCCTCCTCTTCTCTTCTTCTCGAACAACCGTCCGCTCGAAACCCCCCCCCCCCCTCTTTCCTAATTATCCCAAAATTTCCGCTCCAAGTCGTTCCGAATTGGGTAATTACGCGCGCGAATATTCTCATCCCATTTCGGATCAAACGGAGAGTAATATCGTGGAATGGAATTGGACGGATACGTGAGGCGTTTTCTTTTGAGCGCCGCAAACGGTGGAATTTATTATCCTGATTAGGCCATATTTTACGACGCGAAATAACCAGGAGAGCGGGAAACGAGCCAACGAGAGAAAATTCGAGGTGCGAACAGTTGGTGGACGCGTCTCTCGTGCGCGCCACCAGGTGGTTCGTTCACCTGAGCGTAATCTGCGAAAATCTAGCCACGGCCGTGGAACAAATCTGCCCGCGGAGTCGTCCGAGTTTCGCGGCAAAGTGGGGTCAATTGGAGACGCGGACCCCAACCGCCTCGCTCCCACACTCTGCACAAATTTATTCCGTCGCTCTGATCGAGGTCGACCGCTGTTCACCGCGGCAGATGAGCTGGAAAGAGATTCGCAGGAAACCTTCCTTCCTCGCTTCCTCTTCTTCACCTACTCCTTTCTCGTTTATTCCTCCAAACCCAAGAGGATGCGTATCCCTTATTACACATCGCGCTCAACTCAAAAAAATCGATATTTTACTAATCCTCCTAATTTCGTTCTTATCCCGGCTAACAACGTTTATGTTACGTAATTATAAATACACGATATTTATTAACGATTTTATTTCGATAACAGAGTGTTGTTAGGTGGACGATAACGTTTATAACAGAGACTAACGAACTAATTTCATCGTCATTGGCCCATAAAAACGGTGGTTATATCCCCGCGAATGCGATACAATGATGATATATTCTTATTCGCGGATAAATAAAAAATCGAAGTTTACAACCGATTGTTGCGTTATCCGAACAATCGGTTGGAATTTCATTGTATATAGAGGCACTCGCCAATGTATCACGGAATTCACGTGGCGGCTTCGTGCCGCCGACTTCGTCATCGCGAAAAATGCACACGACACCCACAACGTCGCGGCCAACGTAGGCAAACTCGGTCGTCGGCCGCCTTCGATGGACCAATTGCGCGACGCGTGGTCAATTCTTTGCCGTGAGGAACGCACGCGAGAAACAATCAACCGGTCGCTGCGAATCGATCCGCCAACGTGCCTCGACCTGTCGCGCGATCGATCGGCAACGTCCAATTGCGAACGAGTAGCGGAAAATTAAATTATAACGTAAAAATATCTGCACGTATTCGTGTATGCCTATTCACGAAACTAGGGAAAATCGTTAGCGCGATTTCGAGAAAAAAGGGGGGACTGCTGTTTCCTACCTGCGGCTCGAAGCGTGTGACGCGTAGCATGTGGGAGAGCTGCCCACGCGCGCTATTCTTGGAGTTAATGCTCCTTATGCCCAAGCAAATGCGAAATATGCCTTTGTTGACCTGCTAGCGCGTTGCCTCGTATCTTAAAGTTCCCTTCACACCGAATACGTGCTGTAATTGTTTCGCAAGTTTAATAAGATACGTCGGCGGCAAGCTGATTGGAGAAATTGGAAAAAAGTAAGAAACGCCAATTAATTTGGATCCATCTTTCTCACGAGAGATGTTCATTCAATTCGAGTATATATATATATATACACCGAGATATACAAGGAAATATAAATCGGAGACGATGAGGTATAATAAAAGTTCAATAAAAATGCGCATCGATGATACGATCATAGGTATAAAAAGAATTTAAAAGTTAAGTTTCCCATCGCGTGTTTTATATACCGTCGCTTCGATCAGGGGAAGGGCATTAAATCCTTTCCCCCGATATCGGTCGCCTTAATCACAAATGTAAATGTCCCTCCTCCTCCTCCTCCTCCTCCTCCTCCCCCCCCTCCATCGGTCTCGATAAAAACAAGATATTACTACGAAATCGAGTCGCGAGAAATCTTCATCGTTATATCGATCCTTTTCCCCGAAAACATTTAACAGTATACGAGGGGAGAGAAAGGAAGAAAAAGGGGCACGGATCACCCGAACGTAAAATAAATTTATTACCCTTCGTATCGGGTATTCCCGTTCTGATTTATCTGAGAATAAAACGAGCGGACGATGTATACCCTCCTCTTTTTTTACTTTCTCCTCGATCATATCCGCGACCCGAACCAAGCTTCTTCAAGAATGATCGATCACCGATACCTCATCGTATCTTTCAAAAATCGTCAAAAACGTTCGACGTATCCCTCAGACTTAGAATTCCGTGGAAACACGATCGATGCGCGTCATGTAACGTTTTGCTATTCCATTCGCAATTGTTTTCATCGTTCCTACGCGAGTTACGCGTATATTTAATTTTCAGATTACAACGAGATAAGGATAAAACTCTTTTTTCTTCGAAACGACTAAAAAAAAAAGAAAGAAAAGAAGAAAGAAGGAAAGGAAGGAAGAGCGTGATTTGCTGCTAACAATAATTGATCGATCGTTACGGTCGATTAGCCACGAATAAATATTTGCGCGGATGATCCCCTCGTTGACGGGGATCTTTTATCGCGCAAAGATCCCAAGAAGCCAAGTTCTTTCTATCGGCTTCGAAGAGGCTACAAACAAAACGCGAGGCGCAATGAGATGGAGAGAGAGAGAGAAAAAACTGTTAACGGCCGAGTTATAAATTATTAATGTAAGGTATTATCCGAGTAGTCCGGTTGAAAAGCTTTTATGGGCAGCACACGAAGTATCGTCTTTGGATAAGGTTCAACCGCTCGGTTGTATAGGGCGGTTCGCGTCGTAGAGTACGTTTCGAATTCGACACATCTTTCTCTCTCTCTCTCTCTCCTTCCTTCTTCCAATCGACCATGTCCATCCATTTATTCCGCGGAAATTTTTCACGCGCAAATCTCTCTCCTCCTCCTAAAATCCTCTTAAAATTAAAAAATTCGTCGATTCGTAGCGTGAACGAAGAAAGCAAGTGTACGAAGAGTGAAAAGAGTAGGGAGAAGAAGGGGGGGAAAAGGAAAAGATAGGCGCGATAATAAGTACATTGATCGAGTCCCATCCATCGACCATGCCGGAGCGTGGCCCGTTGAAAATGACACGGGCTGTATACACGGGGTATACACATTGTGCTCGTGGCGGTACGGTACGCCGCGCCGGCCATTAACGCTTTTTGCTCGCGGCCGTGCGTGTGTCATTGACGCCGGTTTTATTGGCCGGCCGCATAACTTCCTTTCGCGTCGCTCGTTTATGACCGGGTAATTGCACCACCGATTTCGGTGTGTACACCGAGGAGGGCTCTGCTTAACGGCGGGGGAGGGCGAAAATATGGAGCACGGGCCCCGATTACCTCCGTAATAACGGAGCGAGAAGATTAGGTATCCTACGACGACTCGAGCGCAATTGTCCCGCTTAAAAATTCCACCGCGTGATTGCCGCGACCGAACGCCCCTGGCGCGCTGCAGACCAACGAGCATCGCTGTTGCCCGAGCTGCTGCTTTCGCGGAGAAGCAATATTTCCTTCGAATTCGACGCCGTTTCGATCCGATTTTCCAAGGAATTCGTTCGGCCGCGTACGAGAGAAGGCGAGTTGCTTATTTTCGGATCTCCGAGAATGTGACCCGCACCCCGCGGGTGTCGTTATTTCGGGGGACTCCTATGGGAGAAGGCCATAACGCATCGACCTCGTTATTCCGTGCTAATGACGTGCCGCGAGCCCTCGATTTATGGTGTCGAGAATTTAAAGGCCGCGCGAATTTCTCGCCTCTCCACTCACACCCGGCCGAGACACACCCGTAAATCGAGGAACAGATTTCGCCGCGAGATTCGAGAAAAATGCGTTGCCCCAAATTTTATCCTTTCCCGTTTTACTACGTCCAACAGATGATCATTTGCATTTTCTTTTCTATTCCAATTTTACACCCCCGTTTTCGCCTTTTCGCGTTAGAGTATCGATCGAGAGCGAAACGCGGCCTTCTTTGCGCGTTTCTTTGAAAAATAATCCACGAAATTTTGCCGGAGAAAGGGGACGGTTTGGATTGGAAGCTCGCTATCGGCGATGCTCGTTGCCGCGCTTGTAAACATCTTGCCCTCTTATCTCTGCGGGAACTGGAGTTCCGTTTTATAAACGGGAGAGGATGAAAGGTGCGCGGAGGAAGGAGGGATGGAGTGGATCTAAGGCTGCGGGAAAAGTGAAAGACACCGTTGCCAGAGATAAAGGAGCGGCCCTCTTTGCATCTTCCGCGCGTATTTTCTCTTTTCGCGGCCGAGCCACCATTTTCTCTTCCAACCTTTTTTTTAGGCCAGCCCGCGTATTACATGGAAAATCGGCCAGTGCTTTCAATCTCTTGTTTGTCCTTTTTTTTCAAAAAAAAAAAAAAAAGACCGCATATACGACAATAAAATATATTCGAAAAAAGGAAAATCGATTTTAATCGTCTTTCGTTCGATTTTATTCACCGGTACGAGCGAAATAACTATTTCCAAGCGTAACGCAAGTTCGGTTGAATTATTCAATGCGAAATTAAATACGTTTCGAGGTAGAGAGAGAATTGGGCGTCTCGTGGAATCGAAAATAAAGATAAATCGATACGCATCGATCCGCATTTTCGACACCACGGTTTTTCTCGATCGCGATCGAGAACAGATGGCCAATCAAAGTAAGCAAGATTCCAAGGTTCGAAAAACGGTGGAATACCAAGAAAGGACTGTCGATGGCTGGTTCTCGTTACCGTCATGTGCGCCCATTATCCCCGATGTCGCGCAAAATGAAGCGATTAGCCGACCAGATTGCCAGATTCTGGCTCAACTGCTCGGCTCGCAAAAAAACTCTGCGGGGGGTGGGGGTAGCGTGTTCCACGGAAAGCGGAGAAACCTTGGGATCGGAAACGGGAATGGAAAAGGGAAGGAGAGAGGGATCGCGATCAATTCCACGGAAAGACGGTCATTGATCGATTCCTAGACTTTCAGACGGACCAACGAACGCTCCGATCTATCCTTCTTCTTTCTTGCTTCCCCCTTCTTCTTCTTCTTCTTCTTCAACGAGATACATACGCGATCTATCCTTCTTCTTTCTTGCTTCCCTCTTCTTCTTCTTCTTCTTCTTTTTCTTCAACATACGCGAGACTCAACGAGAGACCTGCCGAACAACAACCGACTTGTCCATACCTCGACCGGTACAATATTTCCACCCTTTTTTCTTCTTCTTTGCTCCTCACTTTCACTCCCTCGTTCGACAAATCCAAGGGGACGTCTATCTACATACCTTAAGCGATCTCGTACAAATTCTGTCTCGAGAAAAAAGATTCGGTCGCGGAGAGGAATGTTTAGAAGGAGGGGGAGAGAAAGAAAGCCGCGAGAAAAAGGTTCGGTAAAGGTTTCACCCACGCCGCCTCCGTTAACATTCCATCCGCGATCGCTCGCGCCAATCTCTCGATGGAATTAACATTCCGCCGCCACAGAGAGGAGAAGAGGAGCCCCGGTCTCCACTCTCTATTTAACGTGACACGATACTAATATGTCCCCGAGCCGCGATGTCGGCCGGTGTCTTTGAAGGCTTTCGCGTAATAAATTAATCTATTAGCGCCGCGCCCGTCCACGCACACGCGGGGCACGGAGGGGAGAGAGGGGCCGATAAGGGGAGAGGCCGAGGCGAGGATCGCTGTAATCTCCAATTAGGCCCAAATTGATTAGCCCGGATTACCACCACTCGGGTCTCGGCCCAAGAAGAGAAACGCTCGGGGATGATGGGTCATCCTTTTTTCTTTTTATTTTTTTTTTTCTTCTTTTTTTACCCTGAAATCATTTACGCTCCATCGAGTACTACGATCGTGTATAAGTATCGGGTACGTACGACGAAAAAATTGATTATCGACGATGTCGGTTAAGCGTCGTCAAATTTGTTTCGATATTCCGACATTCGAAAAGAAAAAAGGAAAAAGAGACGGCGAAGATAAAACATGGCTCGAGATATTAAATTTGTATCGCGCGTAGGAGTGGTAAATTTATATCGACCATCGTTAACCCGATAAACTATCGCCTAGTGCTATGACTGATCGCTCATTTGCAAGAACAAAAAAGGAAAAAAAAAAGAAAAAAGAAAAAAAAGAAAAAGAACAACGATTTATCTAGAAGCAAGCAATATCGAACGTTCGAGTAATATCGACAAACGCGTGGAACGGGACATACTTCAAAAGCGACAGCTTACAACGATCGACCATTAAAACGGGGATCGACCGCTTCGTGACAAGCCGCGGACTCGATAAACAATAAAGAACGAAAAAGATAGTGGGCGTGTATTTTATTGAACCCGCAGTAAAATAGACGGGGGGGGGAGGAGAGAGAGAGAGAGAGCGAAGGTGTATTATTGTTGCCGTAATCTCGACGACTCTCCACGATGATCTCGATGTTTCTGGATTGTCGTTGCTCGTTTCATTCCACGGGGATGAAAATGGAGAGCGAAGAAAAGAGCGATTGTCGATCGGCGCAATTATCGTTACGGGCGTAAATTCGCGCGCGTTATCGCCGATATACCGACGTGCGCCAAGACAAAACGCGCAACGGGTTAATTAGTTATGGCTGAGCGAGTCTACGACGACGAGAACGCGCGTGTTCTCTGCTCCACCTATCGGGATCGGTGGCCACCCGACTCGCCCACGCGCCGAGAAAAATCATTCCGAGTGATGGATTGCGGCCGATACTCGAAATCTAGACTCGCGGGATTCAACGACGGGATATTCGAGAGGTTCGATACGGCTCGGCTCGAAAGATTTATCGAATTCACGGGCAATTATCGTCCTACGCGTTTAGATTCGTTCGCGGAAAATTTGCATTCGTTATATCTCCATAACGAATCGAAACGATTCGCAATTTTCTTTTAACGAGGGAAGAAATTTTCTCGAGCGACGTACACGGTGCTCGAGAAAGATCGGGAGCCTCGCAATTGAAAAGAAAAATGTTATAGAAATGTTCACTGAAATTTTATGTATAATTTTATTATTGAACGTTGTTAGCAGTGTTACCACAATTGGTATCCTCGATACGCGATCTTCAGTCGTTGTTCCGTAGCCAAGCACGTGCGCTCACGTATAACCAAAATATCAATCCATTCAGCCAAATCCGTATATTTCTTATTCACCACTGCGTAACCAGCCAACAAAAAATTGAGAAACAAAATATCGACGTCTCCGAAGAATGATACTCGATAACTTCGACGAAACAGGCACTTCCGTCCAATTTCCGCCTCGTGCTCCTCCTCGCGGGCCAAAGTCATGGATGGAAGAAGGCGGCGAGAAGATTAATACCAACAACTTCCTGTTTGTATCTCCCGTATCACGGCTAATTATCGCTGCGGTCGGTGAAAATTCATCCCGCTCATCAACCTTAGCCCACAACGCTTTCTCCAGATCTCGGCCGGATTCTGGCTCGTGACTTCGCTCCTCGTTCCGATCTTAATTGCCCGAATTAGTCAGAAGCTTGACTAATGGCGCGGTTTATATTCATCGAGCCGCGTCAGGGTGCAGAGAGCAGAGAGAGAGAGAGACAGAGAGGAGGGGGTGGGCAGGCAAGAAGGGAGGGAGAAAGGGGTTGGGGAGGGGGAGGCGGGTGGATACAAGCAATTTGTCGTGGACAGAGGCGAAGCTTCTTGGAAACTGGTTGGACACGTCGGAAAGATCCGCAAGATCTCGGCGATGATTCACGTTGAATTAGTGGGTACACACCCACTGTGCGCGAAGGCTTCGCCTCGTAATTCTAATGTTAATTGTTCGAGATCGCGATGGCCGAGGAGAAATCTCGAGACCGAAATTAGAAATAGGCCGATCCATGCTTCTGGTTATTATATTTTCGAG